AAAACCACAAATTAACCTGCAAGTAGCATTTTGATACATCAGAGTATTTTTTTTCCTTTTCTGAAGCAAAGTGAATAAATGAAATGAGGATTCAATGAAGGGGCAAGACAGTTCAAGAAATTAAAAAATGACTCACAATAAACTTTAAAAAAATAAATCTTTTCTTTTTCTTCCCATGTAGAGTCATTTTCAAATACCTACAAGTAGATTTGATCACATCTTTGGAATCAAGTGCTAGCTCCAAGGTTAATTGTCACAAGTTTCATTTTGTGGGTATAATGTCCCTTTCCTTTAGGATTCTGAAAGTTCAGTTTTTGAGAAGGAACACCAGCTGGGAAACTTGTCGTCATGCCAGTGAGTTAGTTCACAACTTCTGTATGTATTCCTTCAAATCCCAATCTTCCACAACTTCTCATCTGATTTGATCACAAATCACAGCCAATGCATATTTATGATAGAAAGCAACACTTTCAGCCTTCATGGTACAGTTTAAACGCTTAGATTGACATATAAAGCTAACCTTGACCTTGATGTAGTCCTATACTCACCAGACAACAGCATGGTGCTGCATGGTGAATGTCCAAATCTCATTTGTCTTCTATGAAAACACCAAGTAATGTTTGTCTGTCAATTATTCTCGTTCTTTGATTATCTTTAGACCCTCTTAAGGCTATTTTTGGAAGTTTTGAATGAGTACGGAGATGCTGTAATAAGAGTTCACCGACTTTGGGAAAACCTTTTGGCTGCACATGTCACAAAAACGCCTTAAACATTATCCTGACAATACTTGTGTGGCTCAAATGGTTTCCCTTTCTTACCTTTTTGTCAATGATTTGGATTAATGGGTTCCACTACAGTTGCATAACAAATCCTGGAACATTCAATTGGACTTAAAACTCGTGTAACAAAATTTTCCGAGGTACTGATACAGTAGTCCCACTCAAATTCTGTATTTATTGAGTTGGGGCCATTCTCATCTCCATACTCAATTTTGGAAGATTACCTTGTCTTTCGGTCTGTGGTGTGCAAAGCACATACATTGAACATCATCTTGTACATTTAAATTGCAAATACATGCTGCAGCAAAAGACTCTTCCAAGGTCTCTGGTAATTTCATTTTGGTAATATGTTGTTGCTTTATATTGAAATTTCCATGTCTCCACCATGCAATTGTTCAGCTAGGATTTTTGTATATTATAGGCCCATATCTGATGTCTCGAGTGATCTTACCATCGAAGTAGGAGCTTCAAGCTTTGCACTACACAAGGTAAAGAAACAAGCTTTCTTTCTGATAAGTTACCGCATATTCATCATAGTGTTCTTTGACACTCGTAGTCGTTAATTATAAATAAATGACATTTTTCTGTGTATAATATACCAACTACATATATGAATATTGATTGTTTATGCATGAGTAACATCTTTGAAGAGAATATCAAGTTCAACAGTAGTACACTAGACATTAAAAGGTAGTTGTAAAATCATGAACATAAATGCTCTATGCTTTATGCATCAGTTTGAAAAGAAAAAAACAATAAAAAGAAATGAAAAGGAGAGAAAGGCAATATTGCCAAGTCCTAAGTTTTTAGCAATTTTTTTTTGTTCTACAGTTTCCTCTAGTTTCTCGAAGTGGAAGAATTCGGAAAATGCTGTTAGAAGCAAAAGATTCAAAAGCTTCACGCGTAAGTCTCTCAACCGTGCCAGGTGGTGCAGAGGCATTTGAGATGGCTGCAAAATTCTGTTATGGAATTAATGTTGAGTTCACCCTCTCCAATGTTGCTATGCTAAGATGTGTAGCCCATTTTCTGCAAATGACAGAAGAGTTCGCAGAGAAAAACTTGGAGACAAGAGCTGAAGCATATCTAAAGGAGACAGTGCTCCCAAATATATCAAGCACAATATCTGTTCTCCATCGTTGTGAAACTCTTCTTCCCATTTCAGAAGAGATTAACCTTGTTAGCAGGCTAATCAATGCAATTGCAAATAATGCTTGCAAAGAGCAGCTCACAACTGGTTTGCAAAAACTGGACCACAACTTCCCTTCTAAAACCATGTCAAACTTGGAACCAGAAACACCCTCAGAATGGTGGGGGAAGTCTCTCAATGTTCTTAATCTAGATTTCTTCCAAAGAGTTTTAACTGCTGTGAAGTCAAAGGGACTAAAACAAGACATGATCAGCAAAATTTTGATAAACTATGCACATAATTCTCTTCAAGGGATGGTTCTTAGGGACCCCCCAACAGTCAAGGGAAGTTTACTCGACTTAGAATTGCAGAAGAAACAAAGGGTCATTGTTGAAGCCATAGCTGGCTTACTACCAACTCAATCAAGGAAAAGCCCGGTTCCAATGGCATTTCTCTCAAGTTTGTTGAAAGTTGCAATAGCAGCATCAGCATCTACTTCTTGTAGATCTGATTTAGAGAGAAGGATTGGTCTACAACTTGACCAAGCAATTCTTGAAGACATCCTAATTCCAACAAATTCACATCAAAATAACCACAGCACTATTTATGACACAGATTCAATCTTGAGGATTTTTTCCATTTTTCTGAACTTGGATGAGGAGGATGAGGATGATAGCCGCTTGAGAGATGAAAGTGAAATGGTTTATAACTTTGAAAGCCCCGGATCTCCCAAACAAAGCTCAATTCTGAAGGTATCCAAATTGTTGGACAACTATCTTGCTGAAGTAGCACTAGACTCAAACTTGTTGCCATCAAAGTTCATTTCACTTGCTGAACTACTTCCAGATCATGCACGCATTGTAAGTGATGGACTCTATAGAGCAGCTGATATCTTCCTTAAGGTGAGAATTTCTTCTCCCTTTCACTAATATTCCATTGCAAGTCTTAATTTCTTCTAAAGTTTACTATTATATATTGTTACTTCTAGTTAACAATTTGTTGGTTTTAATTTTCTACTTGTGTAATGTCATATAGGTTCATCCAAACATAAAGGACTCAGAGCGCTACCGCCTCTGCAAAACCATTGATTGCCAGAAACTTTCTCAAGAAGCATGCAGCCATGCAGCACAAAATGAAAGGTTACCAGTGCAGATGGCAGTGCAAGTTCTTTACTTTGAACAAATAAGGCTACGCAATGCTATGAATGGGGGACATAACCAATTCTTCTTTGGGGGACTTAATGGTCAATTCCCTCAACGTTCAGGGAGTGGTGCAGGAAGTGGAGCCATTTCCCCAAGAGATAACTATGCATCAGTAAGAAGGGAGAACCGAGAGCTGAAGCTTGAAGTGGCAAGAATGAGAATGAGACTCACTGACTTGGAGAAAGATCATGTTTCTATGAAGCAAGAGCTTGTAAGGTCACATCCTGCAAACAAGCTATTAAAATCATTCACCAAAAAACTAAGCAAGCTCAATGCACTATTTCGGATAAACAGTATTAAGCCAAATGGTGCTAGTTCTGAGAGTCGGTTCCCTTTTCCAAAGAGAAGGCGTCACTCAGTTTCATGACTACAAAATGTGTAACATTATATATATCAGCACAATGTATAGTATGTATGGTGGTGCATGGCGTGATCGTGTCTATTTTTTTCAGTCCATAGTTTTTTTTTTTTGAGTTCTGCTCCTCGATTGCTGTGTTCCATAATGGTATCATTACCCAAACTTTGGCTGGACTATAATATAAATGAGGAGGAATATCTAAGTTGTTAGATGTCACTTTTATTTAGTGGCTTACATGATTATTAATAAATTACAATTGTTAAATACAAGTAGCACTTTAGTGTAAAAATTATTATCTTACACTAATGTAAGTGATCCTATTCCATATATACATGTAGCCAAACATTTCAGGACCAGAGAACAGTTCTGTGACATCAAACTTTTGGGTTGCTTTCTCAGTGAGCTGCTGCAATTTTCATTCTCTTCCATCCCCTCAAACATTCCTGCAAAATGTATGTTACATGAATTAAAAAAATCACATCCCCTGTTACATATTTGTTTCCCCTATCCTTCCCTTTGAAAAATAACACCTTGACAAATAAAATTAATAACTAAGAAGTAAAATATTAGCATTGGTTTTCTTTATAAATGTTGTTTTATAACTAAAAGACATGACTTCATGCTGTAGAGTTTAGGGACACCATGAAGCATACATGGTTAAGTAGTCTAATAAATTGCTTTGAGAAGGACTTTATATGAGTATAAAGGGCAAGCAAAATATAAAGAAATGAAAATAAGTGATGGATTTAGATTTATATTATGTTTGAATAAAATAGTAATTACTTTGTCAATTTCACATTACCTATGCTTTCTAATAATTTATCATATTTCTAATTAATATATATATATATATATATATATATGAAAAAAGTATTTATCCAGATCACTGGAAATAAAGTTATCTCCAGTGAATCCAAAACGGTGTCGTTTTGAGATTGTAAAATTAAAAAATTATAATAATAAAGACTAATATAACTTTGCAATAAATTAGAATTTCAAAAGCATATTGATTTTCTCCATAAAATAATGTCATTTTGGGTTCACAGGAGATAACTTATCTTCATTAACTGAAGAAATCATTTACCTTATATATAGGGAAAAACTATTCTCATAATTAATTTTTTTTCTTACACACCCTTCATTAATTGTGTAGCTTTTTTCTTTATTTTTTTAGGTAGTGAGGCTCACATATTTATTTCTATAATATAAGATAACTTATCTTTTTTAACATGATATTAATAACACCCGTATATATATATATATATTAAAAATCAGAGTAGGACTTATTGCAAAATGTATATGTGGACGGTGTGGTTTACGAATTTCCCGTATTTAATTAAATTCGTACGATAATCAAATCAAAAGCGACTCCGTGGCCCAATGGATAAGGCGCTGGTCTACGGAACCAGAGATTCTGGGTTCGATCCCCAGCGGAGTCGATTTTTGCAAAACATTATTATATTTTCCCTTTTTCCGAGGCTCCATTCGACGTCGTATAAATACAATGCTTGCTGTAGCTTCGGAGAACCAGACGGCGCGTTTTGGGAGACTGATCTAGGGCTCGGACCACAGCGTAGGAGATGACGGTGTCATTTGCAGAGTAATAATCAGTCAGGTGAACTCCTAACTTAATCTTTCTCCCTTCTCAATCCTCATTTCATCTGGGACCTCATAAAGATTCCTTCTTGCCATTTGGGTATGTCTGAGTCTGACATTTTGTATATGCTATATACCCTCTCCCCCAATAGCATGTCTTTTGTTAAATATTATGACTGAACCTGCTAGAGGACTAAAGGTAGCTTAGCGTTCTATTCAATTGATTGGATAACTTAACCCCTCTCACCCTTGAGAGATTTTGAACTTTGGATCCCAACCCATTTGGAACCACCACTGTCTTATTATTGTTGTATAATGCTATTTGAGATGAGATATTGAGCCTTTTTGGTTTTCTTCATGAATTGTTATTGAGATTTTCAATGTTGTGACTGAATGATGATATATATAGATGATAAGTCGGCATAAACATGAGTTAAATATTCAACATTGGGAAACATGGCATTCATTATGTATTGTTTACTACATTGACGATATGGTGAGACTGAGAAATGGTTTCTTTTATACTGAATTGAACTCATATACTCATTGCAAGTAACCATGACGCGAATCGTTGTTGTTGCTTTGCTCTCAAAGTTCGTGTAATCCATGGATGTTTAATGTAGTGTTTGGCAATTGGCAATTGGCATTGGCCTTAGGTTTTATTATTTTATAGAATATTCGTAGAATACTTTACAAGATGAACATAAAGCCTTGCTATAAGCATAAGAATAATTATTTTTTTCAAGCTCAGTTATTATTGGCATATACTTTTGGAGAAATTATTGTAGATCAGAAATGCTAGTGCTAGAGCGAGGTCAGCTCTTGGCATCACAGTGGGGACTATGGATTCCTTGACATCACAGTGGGGACTATTGTAGATCAAACGTGATGTGTATATTTATTTATTTATTTTTTCTTTTCAGTGTCCCTCTGATCCTAGGGCTTTTGACTGCAATGATGTAATTTTTTAAATAAAATACCGAAATAATGCAAAAGTGAAATATTTGCAGGCCCCTTCTCCTACCCGAGTCGTGGAGATACCCAGGAGACCTGACTTGCCCCAAAGGGGTAATTAAGGTGACGGAATCCAAAAAAATTAATATACAACTAGGATTCATCATACTTTTTGAATTATTAAAATATTTAAAGACATTTAAATTAATATTATTTTTTTGGTGTTATTGTTATCTGATTATTTATTTATAATTAGTGTCATGGATCGTGGCAGTATTAGTCCTGGACCGAGGGTGTACGATGTTTTGTCTCTTGACACACAAGAATCTCACGTCTCGCAAGCTGTGTGGAACACTGAATATAAAAGGGTTCTTAAAGTTAGACGAGCGACACAAGGTTTAGATGCCGACCCACATTCCCCCGATAATATTCCAGAGCCGGTTTTGGATCACTTGAGGTGTGCTGGCTTTTATCATGTTGCACGGATGCGTCATTTGCCGGTTTGTTTTTTAAATAATTTGATTATTTTACCATGTTTAGTTGATTATAAATTTAAAATGCTAAGGCAAATTTGTTTTTATTCTATTTGAGATTGATCATGCATTGATTAGCGCTCTTGTGGAGAGATGGCGCCCAGAGACCCATACATTTCATATGCCACAGGGTGAGTGCACCATTACATTGCAGGACGTGGCAGCCATACTAGGTTTGCCCACTGATGGCCCACCCGTTATAGGCAGGACGTTTGCTCCTTGGCTAGACGTGATTAAGGAGATGTTACATGTGGCTCCATTACCACAGGAGCTAGAGGGAGGCAATGTCCGCATGACATTTTTAGATCGTCATTATGGTCATTGGGTACAACACAAGGGTGATCCAAAGCAGGAGCTACTATACACACGCGCATATCTATTACGCCTTATTGGTGGTTTCTTATTATGTGACAAGTCATCGAACAAGGTGCCTGTACGATATATTGAATTCTTGGGAAACTTCGAGGTGACTGCCACATATAGTTGGGGTTCCGCTGTGCTTGCTCACCTGTTTAGGGAGCTATGTCAGGCGACTAATCCTGCTCAGAAGGAAATGAGTGGTTGCTCTACATTGCTGCAGTTATGGGCTTGGACCAGATTCCCGCCTATCTCACCCGGTGTTCCACCTGTGGCTGATCCTGCAGACCATTATGGTCGGAGGTATGATAACATTGCATGATATTTGCAATACTGTGACTTCATTGTTCTACTGTTGATATTAGTATTGACTTGTTTTTCTTAGGTTTAATTTTCTGCCCAAACGTATCGCCCCTAATGATCTGAATCATTATCGGTTCACACTAGATACGATGGGTCGAGAGGAGGTAACTTTAATTGCTATAGAGATAAAAGTTATTTTATCTATTAATACACTCCATATTAACATTATTATTATTTTATTTTTTAAACAGATTGTATGGCAGCCTTACATTGGTTACCATTTTCTCGGTGCATCTGTTGAGACTCAGAGGTTGTGGAGGGTGGTCACACCGATTATATGTTTTCATATTGTCGAGATGCACCAAGCAGATCGAGTTATGCGCCAGTTTGGGATGGAGCAGCCAATCCCAGTCGCTCCTTATCTACTACATGGTGTACATGACCTTACCCTTCGAGGTAAGACGGCTGAAGATTGGTCAGTCAAGTTGAGATTATATATAGAGCGGTGGGAAACGCGCCACACACGGTTTGTGGAGGGCACTGATGGAGGGGATGTTTACTTGTCACCAAATTCAGAGTATATGATTTGGTATAAGAATATTACCAGGCGATATATGACTTTGAAGGCGGCCCATATTGGACACGTGGTAAGTTGTGATTATGTTATTATTGTCTTTTTTATTACTATTCTAAATTTGACTTCAATTGTGTAGGTTGATGGATTGGAGATGGCATGGTGGATGGCTATTGATGCACCACGGGAGGACCTCCAAGCGGAGTTGGGGCGATTGATTTTTATGTTTAGGGAGTGGCAGCGGATTGCTGAGCCTGGATCTGCAGCGTGTCCTAGTCAGGTCATTCAGGAGCCAGAGCCGCATGTGGAGGTACCTCCCCGTGCTAGAGAGGGTCACGGACTTGGTAGACGTCGTCCACGCATTCCTGCACAGTTTGTTAATATTCCACAACCTGGACCACGTGGGGCAGGGATATACAGACCACCACTATATCCTTCTGGTGAGCCACACCCCTTTGTATATCCACCATAGATGTAATAGCTGCAGATGCAGCAACCTCGGGCTTTTGGATATCTACCCGAAATGCACATGACTCAGCCTTTTGGGTATATCCACCGAGCCAACAGACCCATACCCAGAGCTAGCCGCCATTATTATGACTTATTGTTGATTGCATTGTGATGATTGGCCCGGATAATGGGATAAAATTAAACACAAACACATCAACAGTACATTAACAACTAGTGAATATGCATTGTTCTTCAACTCATCAACCATAATGGTGAAGTTTTGGTGAATTTTCTTCTTCAACTCATCAACTATAATGTCGCATGTGATACGCATTGTTCTTTAATCACATTTGAGCTCCAAATCATAAAGGTCTTGAGCTTTTCTATCATTGTAGTAGAAAAGTGCATGAATGTAGGTACAAAAAACGGGATAAGATGGAGCCACGTGTTAGGTGAATCAGACAGCCTCAATCGAGCTAGGTGGCACAATTCATCAAATTGTATGCCTAACCCATGCACGACCAAGTCATGCATCCTCCCTATGCACATCTTCAATGTGGAATGTGCACAACTCCTTTGTGCGACTTAAATGCATTCACCCCTGTGCATGTTTTCATCATTATTTTGCTTTTATATTAATTTAGTAGTTTATTTCAAAAATTACTTTCATCAGGTCAAAAAACCCTATTGTACGATATGTCATTATATTATGCCTATTTTTTTTTTATGCATATTTTATCTATTCTTCTTCAACACCGTTACATCACAATCTCAAAGAGAAGAGATAAAGGATGAAGGTCAATTGAAATAGTGATCTAACAGTGTTGAAGAAAAATAGGTAAAGTAGACCTGAAAAAAAAGATAGGTATAATATCTTATCCCATATATTATATATATAAGGAGGCTATGCTATTGGCTGCTGTAAGACAGATAAACCCGTGCTTGGTACTCTGCAATCACTTTATTATTAGGGCATCTTTGTATAGAAACAGGTGACTGACTTCTTAATTAGACCACCAGGTAACAATTTTTATTTTTATTTTTCATGCATTGGGCAAATTGAACAGTCCTACTAAATTGTATGAAATTTTAGTGATTTTTATTTATTCATTTAAATATTACAATCTAGGAACTCTTGAGGATGAAATTACTAATTCAAACCCAATGAGTGTAGCTCAGTTGGCAACACAGGTTAAGTAGAGTGAGGAGAGATTCTGAGTTCGATTTCCACCAAATATATATATATATTTTTTGGGGGGGTGGGGTGTTCAGGAAAGAAATTACTAATTCAAAAACTTAACCCACAAAATTAATTAATAGTGCATACTAATCAATCACTTTTTCATATTTCAAATTAACAAGCTGTTTGGCTATATTTTCTTACTCTTTAATTTTTTTGAGCTCTAGGTGATTAACTTGTTCTAGGGTCAAGTTGGCTTTATTGGTTTGGTTCAAAATATTAGGCTTGAACTTGAATCGTGATACCTATGTTTAATATATTTATTGAGTACAACTGAAATACAAATAATTTTATAATAGAATAATCTCTTTAGATTTATGTGAATTATATGCAATCTTTATGTTATTTTGCACTATTTTTATTTATTTATTTTATTCTATACAGAGAGGGTGTCAACACTCGCACATCAAATTAAATTGTTCATCCGAATTCCGGATGCCACATTTTTATGAAAATCACAACATATTAAATGAGCCTTGCATTGATAATATGTGCATGCCATGGCCATGTCTGGTTTAGGCTTGATTTGCATTATACAAAAGTAAGAGTGCAGTTCTGCACCAGAAAATGAAGCGTACAAGTAGACTAGAAGCAGCTCTATTACTATACATTTTCATAGATGTCATGGCCAGGAATTGCAATAGTAATATCATCAGCTTTAAGAAGATTAGAACCTCTTGTTTGATCCTCTGAGGTGAGTTTGGATTGCATGGCTATCGACCCCTGATAAATATAGCTCTAGCCCTTAAGCAACTGGGCAAGCTTGTTTTGGACGTTGAGGCTCATGACTTCATTAGCACCACCTATCAATTGCTGTCCTATGAACACTGCTGGTACGCTTGGGTGGCAACCTCAATAACTGTAGGATTGGCACCAAAGCTGCATATGAGAGCCTTCACAGAATGGCTTATGCAACAAGTGCTCTTGCTGAAGATCACCACTGGCTGTGGCTTGTCAGCAGGAGCAGGCAACGTTGCCACCAAATCCATTGTTAGAATATTTGACTAATTAGTAAGAGTAAAGAGTTGGTTAACAATGGGACTTGAAGAATGTTCTTTGTTTTGCTTTGCTGAACTTGAGCTCCAGGGAAGGTCTATTTATAGTAGCTTCAGCCTTAAGTTGGTTTATTTCTGGTAACCGAGTCTGGATAGTTGTACATGTAGGATAAACATCTCAAAAAGAATAAGCGTTCTAAAAGTTATGTCTTCGGTGGATTCCCAATATTCCCTTTGTGATTGCTTGATAGTAACCACCCATATGCTTTTCCAGAGCGAATGAAGAGTAACATATTGGTGCCTCATTGTATCCAACCCAGGATATTGGCTATGTTAAGCTTAGCTGTCATTTGCAATTGCCAATTTGTCATGGAATATTTCTAAATTTAATTGCGAATTGCATTGTGAAAATCATCTCAGGATAAGGATTATCATCTCAAACTTAATTAATCACTGGCATATTGTTAAATTAAGTGCAGGAAAATCTAGTACCCCTTCTCTATTTTTTCCTCATTGTTTTCCATGACAGAATTCTGCGCTGTCTATTGTTTTGAACAATGGCAGCAAGTAGCAACTTCTCATCTCAAGATTAGCATCAAGTTCAAATCCCAAATACCAAAAGCTGAGGTTAAAAGATGATAAAAGAGATATTGGGGTGGGTGATGCTGATTTAACGGTAATCTATGCCTAACAGCATTTGCTTGTTTTAGTTAATCTGGCCCTTTGATATCATGATACTCTACACAAGGACCGTATAGAAAAAGGGGAGCATAATAAGCTACCCTTGGATACCCACAGAATTTTCCATTTTTCACACATTGTGTTATAGCATATGAATTTTATAAGGGAAGATGCTGAGAAGATACTCTGTGCTTAGAGCATATGAATTTTATTATAACAGTCGAAACCTTAGCACAAGCCCAGCGTTTTTCTTTCAATGTACATTTCTATGGACATTCATTTACTATTTATGCATCAAATAGAAGGTTTTTATATTATGTGCTGCAAATACAATTGTCAAAAGTGTTGTTCAATTGGATGTTTGATTGTTTGTAGGGTTTTATTATTTGCTTCCTCGGTTATCTTAGAAAATTATATAAAGATCCATAGCCCTTTCTTCGGCATCTTTTGTTCACTGGTGTAATGAGAAACTTATAGAGGAAGCTTTTATCTTATACAAAAGTCTAATAAAGAGAGTTCAAAATCTATTTTACTGGTAACTCTGTTCAATGTTCTTAATAATGCAAAAATGCAAAAACTCAAAAAAGGAAATATCAAAGTTTGATTAGGAAAAGAAAATGCAAAAAAATGTCTGTAGAGCTTATGCCTGTTGGTGATTTTTTACATTGGTTAATGTTAAAAATGCCATCAGTTAACTATAACGTTAAATGGACTAACGCTTGATTTAGGGTAAGGTAGGAGAGGTCATCTACAAAATGTCAGCAAATGTTGTCATTATTTCTGCTGTATTTGTCAATGGGGGAATACAGAAAACAAGAAGTGATTCCTTTGCTATTTGATTGCACTTAAAAAGGTGGGGAAAAAAAATGAGAGTTTATCATCTCGATTTAGATTTTCATCCAATCGGATATTACTTTTCTTTCTCAGGCACTCCATTGCCAGATAACGTTAAATTTACTTTGTCATATGTGGACATTATTCGTATTCTTGTAGCTACAGAATTTTCCACTTGGCTGCAATTTGGAAAAGCAACCTTGTGGCTCTTGGTCCCAAATTGTTTGGCTTAAACCATGTTCCACAATTCGAATAAGGGGTTTGATTTTCTCATGTTGAATGAGAATTAAATTCTCATGTTGTATAGATAAAAAGCATGTGGGATCCATGTGTTAGAAAAAATTATATGTAGGACTCATGTCAGCACGAAAATCGAAGGGTGTGTAGAAAAATTTTAATTCTCGTTGAATGAGAATTATAAAACCCTTCGAATAAACGTCTCAAAGATAAAACAAAGGGTCACTTGATCCTGATCATTTTGTCATTTTGACTATCCAAGTGGTTATCTGCAGATTACAGTAACTGAAAGCTGCATAAGCATCAAATCACGACATTATCTTTTCTTTTATCTTGAATAGTATTTTAGACTATGCTTGGCAGTACAGAATAGAATTTATATAGTGAAAATGGAGATGGGAATGAAGTGAAATATGAACTTTATTTCAATCAGTATGTGAACCACAGTGGTTTTTTCGCAACCATTGCTAATTGGAGTATAAGGGTAAGATATAAAAAAATGTATCTCTTCTGCAATATCATCCTATGCTTATTTGAAGGGGTAAAATTTTTGTGAATAAATATTTAGTACTCTCATCGTATATACATCGCACCGGTAAAAGTGTGACACATCAATTGACAAATTTTTTTTTTTTAAAAAAAGAAAAACAAACTCTAATGTTATAACTATATATTCCCCGGAATACATAGTTATAATATTACCGTCGCACCCGGTGCTTAATGTGATGATAGTACAAAAAATTTGTTCAATTTTTGAAAGAAAATTACTTCACACTTGCTAAAATAAAAATGTAAGAAGGTTAAAACTAGAGTATAAATTTTACACTCTTACCACATAAATTTTGATCACTCTTATAGAATAAAAGGGAGTTGTAAGCATTTTCACCATTTACAATGCAACAATAGATAAAAATCAAAATCCCAATTTTCACTTATTTATTTTTGGCATTTACATATTCTATCCACTAAAACGAGTATAGCCTCAATCTATGTAGCACCGATACGACACGCGACACGTGACACGACACGACACTCCGACACGTCAATCTTAAAAAATTATGAATTTCGACACGTTGGGACACGTTTTAATATTAAATAATATTTTTAATTTATATAGTGTATATTTCATTTAATATCTAATAATTTAACAAAAAAATGAAACTAAATTAATAATACCCATTAACACGTTATAAAGATGGAAGCTTTAATAAAAAAAATAAAAACTGGGATGAGAGAGAGATATAATATCAGATATAAAGATCAAATCATATTAGAAAGAGAGATCAGAGACAGTACAACAAGAGCGTGATAGGAATTGACAACAATGATGCTCAGATGATCTCTTATCTACTTAAGGGAAAAAAAGACAAAAACATAAAATTGATATGATCAGGTGGAAACTTTATTAATATATTTTAATTTTAAAAAAAAAAAATTTAAAAAATAATTACGAAAATGTCATTTGACCGTGTCGGACACGGTCAAATTCGCGTGTCGGAATGGTCAACATGTCGGAAAAAGTTGACCGCATGTCCGATACCGTGTCAAAGCGTGTCGCCGTGTCGGAGCGTGTCAGACACGACTCTCCCTATTTTTCCAAGTATCCGTGCTTCCTTGGCCTCAATCATAACACATGAATGATTTATCTCCTTTCATAAGTAAAACATTTTATCAAAGACAAGATTGAAATGATACCCGTCAGTGCACTTTTTTCAATCTTTTCTCCTACAAAACAAGCATCCATTATATTTTCCAAAAAAAAAAAAACAAGCATCCATTAGTTTTTCTTCATTGTCAAGGAACTAATTCTTTCAAACGTTTAAATTGTTAGGAGAACACATGCCTTTCACAACATGGTCCGAAATCCTACTTTAAGAGAATGGGGCGGTGAGGACTAAATTCCTAATCACTTTGCAATAAAGGCTCCAGTAAACAAAATCATCCCACCAAAATATTTAAGCTAGGTGTTAGGTGAACATAAATGGTTTTGATGCTTTGTTCATTTTCTCTCTGGGTCATTAGTTCATTGAAGAACTTTAATGCACAGGTTTCGTTCATCATGCGTCCATATTTAGTTTGAACAACTGCGATATCATCATTCAAGAAGGAAAGAGATAGTTTAAAATAGGAAATGGATCCTGTTTATGTGTATCCTTTTCTTCTTAGACATTAATAAATTTTGAAAGAGATAAACACACACAACATTTTCAGATGACTTAGACATGTGAAAATCTAAAACGAGGAGATCAATTCCTCGTGAGGATATGCTATTTATTGTTGCACAAAAATACATGTAAACATGATGCAGTTTGGTATGCAAATATGCAATCCATTACCCATTTAAGCAGTTTCTTTTTTTTGACTGATATATTAAACCTAATTAGAAAGCCACCGATTCATGTGTGAAAACAACCTCTTTGAAAAATGTAATTGTAAAGGTTATGTATAATCGACCCTTACCCCTGCACTCACAAAGTTGGGGAGTCTCATGCACTAGGTTTACTCATTGTCCTTTCAAAAAAATCACAATTTCAACTATCATAGCATAAAGGACATTTCAGTCATAGTAAAAAACTGCATATTGCTCAGCATTCTCAAGTTAGAAGAGCATCGACGTTATAACTTATAAAGAAGGTAATATTTACAAACTCAATTATATATTCCGGAGAATACACACCAAAATGTTTGTAAACATAACTTTTCCCGTAACTTATAGAACTTTTGATTTGTACTATAGCTGTCAGCTGAGTTTGAGATGAAGTTTCAGAAAGCACTTATTGTGGACGTCATTATATTTCTATTTAAGACACATCAATACATAATGATATTAAGCTCTCTGACATGACATGCATCCGCTACTAGAAGAAAAAAAAGAAAAAAAAAAAAAAAGGGTAAAGTTTAAGCTGTCTAATAGATGGACCACTGTGACTTCATTTTAATCACAGAAATATCCATATGTGACCTATGGTATGTATAACTAGATATCTAGACTTCAAAATCTTTATTCAACTATGACATTTAACTGTTCTTACTTTTGCATCAAATCCATATAGCTCTGGCATTCATCAGCAGTGGTACTAACTCGTTCCGCAGATGGAGGGTCATGATTCTCTTAGAGTCACCAATGAAATTTCCACCTATAAAAACAGCTGGTACACTTGGTTGGCACCCCATTTGAAGCAGTACCCTTTCAATATGCTGCCCATTTGTCACTTTATCAAGCTCAATAACAGTGAGGTTTGCCCCAAAGCTACGTATCAGTGACATGATGGAGTGGCTCAAGCAACAAGTGCTTTTGCTGAATATCACCACAGGCTTTCCAGTTACCATGCTATTGATCATGTCCATGATTAGCTAGAATATTTATACCTGAAGCAATGCAATGTAATGGAGCTTATGAGGAGTTTTGAGCTTGGCTATGTGGAAACTGAATTCCCTTCAAGGGATATATATAAGCTGATTCATAGTCATAATAGGAAGAGAATATAACTATCTCTTTGGACTGCATTGCACGTGTTGTATTGATAACAAGTTGCCTATATGTTAAGGTAAATGTAATGAATCAATGACATTCTGTTTTATTGGAATTTAGATTTTGATAAGATCTGTAAACGGTTTGATAAGAAGAATAGAATATATGGTAAAAGCGGTTAAGAGAGAAATAGAAATGGAATGAGAATATACTGCAAAAGTGGTGGAGGAGCTTGTCAAGGACACTGATAAAGAAGCTCAAGACGGTTTCCAGCGTACGGGCATGGATTACATATTAAGGTTGATAGATATGATCTGTCACTCTCTCAATATTGCAATTTAGATTTTGTACGCTGAAGTTCAACTTTAACCCTTTTCAAGATGCAAAGGAGAGCTTATATTCCTCTAGTTATTAAACATGTGAAAAATATGGAGTTCTATGTGGTTAGATTATGGTCAGTATACTAATTTGAATTGATCACAATGATACAATGTGCAAATCAATGTCAATGGATTCTGTGAGCAGAATCTGAGTATTTAATTTTCCACATTGCCTTGTATCTTCACCTCTGATCCTGTAATCCATTGATATAGATCCAGAGGTAGAAAAATTCTATCAATAATATTATGTTTTTTTCTATAAACGATTAGCAAGTATGTAAGACTTAATGCGCCCATATAAACAATGAGAGCTGATTTCAATGATTTTATGGAGAGCATTTCATCAGGAGTTTCCTTCTTCTTTTCAGATTCTTTGTCTAAAATTACTTGTTCACGTGTCTTCTCCTCAACTTCTTGGGTGTCCTCCATTTTAGCAACCTTATAATCAAGTAAAAATGTGAACACCTTTTACTGATAAGAAGTCATAAACAATTCAATTAACAATACTAAATAGAAAAAGCGGTAGGCTTAACTTACGAAAATACGAGCTAACTTTTTTTCTTTAATCTTTTTTACATGATATATCACATTGCATACTTCTTCTAGTTTAATTTTTATTTGATGGAGACGAAAATCGGATAGAGTGACGTCTGAGAATCGAAAAAAAGGGGATTTGTAAATTCGACTCTCAAGATATCCTGATAAACAGTTTATATAATATATGATTTCAGAAATACCAGATATCTATATAGGACCATATACCTATCCATGGGTGCATGCACAACTTGGCTCTGTGCCACTATGTCTAACAACATGAATATCCAACATGAAATCATATGACTGAATACTACATCATAAGCAAAAAATTAAAATATTACTATTTTAATAAATAATAACGAATATGTAGATGTTTCGAAACTATTTACGGATCTATTGCACTCATTCACGCCCAAATTAGGCGTGACTAGGGGTGAAAGTGAGCTAGGCTGGGCCAAGCTTTGCTCCGAAAAGCTCAAACCTACGTTAAAAAATTTCAATTTGGCCTGGCCCAAGCCTATTACGAGTCTAGCTGTTAGCCTGACTTGGCCCGTTTATAAAAAAATCAAATGACCTGGCCTAGCCCATTAGCCTATTAATTTTTAACTTTCAAACAGAACCATGAATCCATTTTATAAAATACTCAAATTCTATTGTTAAACCAAAAATCATAATTTCAACGTCCAAACAGAATCATGAATAACAACAAAACTCATACAATCTGCATTTAAGTCACTTTCAAAAGCAAAATGCTCAAATTAAATAACATATATTTCATCAGATCCAACAAACAAATCTATACTATGTAAATTAAAATAATTACAAACACATAATGATGCTTGTAGTAAGTATAACCTCTCCCAAAAACCTTGTAATATATTCATATACACAATTTAACATGCTGAGATGTTGGTTCCTCCTACATAAGAAATAAAGTTAGATTTCTATTAAAATATAATCGAATATAATTAAGTTATAAATAATTACAATTGATTAAATTTATATCTTTTTTTTTTCTTCAAGGAATATTCATTCTATTTTATTTTATTTAAAATAAATAGTACAATATAGGCCAGCATGTAGGCTTATAGGCCAGACCTTGTGAAAGTGGGCCTACGGCCTTTTTATTAAACAAGCTTTTTCAAGGCCCAAGTTCAGCCTATTTTACGAAATATACTAGGTCAGGTCTGGCCTGATGTAGGCCGAGACGTAGGCCCCTGTAGGCCGGTCTGGCCCAGTTTCACCCCTAGGCGTGACCATTCACGCCTAAGTTAAGCTTGACTCCGAAGGAATTCACGCCTAATTTAGGCGTGACTCGTCTGATATTGACACGTGGCACAAAAAACTCAACTTACAAATCGTAAAACTTTGGAAAGTCATAACTTTTGACTCATGTATCCAAATCAGGTAATTTTTTTTGATTCCACAAAACTTTTCGAGATCTACGCAATGACTTCTCATTTAACATATTTTATCTCTCACAAAACAATTCAAATTTGCAATGAGTGTCTTTTCGTCGACAAACAAATGTATCTTTTTATCCTAACGAATGTGTTGTTTCATCCCAATGGACGTGTTGTTCCATCCTTGAATGAGTGTCTTTTTGTGTCCAACGGATGTGTTATTTCGTCATCGAATAGGTGCCTTTTGAAACATGACCTTACGTTTTCTATATATAGACCCTGACTCATTCAGAAAATTTATTCAATTTTCTGCACTATTACTCTACCGGACTTTTCCTTCATCCGGTTTTGCATACTTCCTTCTATTTTTTCGGTGTAATTCCTCTGGCATCTTGTTGTGTTCGTTCGGGCTGTTGATTGGTAGTGCCACCAATTTTCAGACGCAATCCGTTCTGTCCTGGAAGACAAGTGTCCATCAACCTTCAGCATCAGTGAGGGGACAAATTGTCTTAAGGAGACACATTGTCTTAAGGAGACACATTTTGTGGGCTCGGATTTTTCATTGTTCTGCATACATTAATCATTATGTTCCATTGTCTGATATCAAGTAAGTCTGTTCTAATTTCCTTATTCACTGTGTTTGATAATTCTGATCATCTTCTCTTTACATGGGTTCAAACCTGTTAGTGATATAATATCACATGTCTTCAAATAAAAGATAATACATAAGTCCACCTACCTGTGTTGGAAATTCCATAAAACTTAATTATTTATTAATTAAATGGTGACGGTGAAGATCAAACCTGTGACACCAAGGTTCAGATATCCAAACTGCTAACTCATGCTAATTTATATCCAAACTTGACTAAATATTCCAATTTAGAGCTTTGATTAATTTTAGGGCTATGTTTGTATCATGCTGCAGCAAACAACCACAATTTTCCTGCAGACTAAGCAAGGAAGAGACAGAATGTGAGATGACAAAAGTAAAAAAAAAAATTGTGGAGGTAGCTACAGTAACTTTCCAGCAACATTATTTTTACATTTCCCTTATTTTTAAAGAATACAATATCGTATAAATCCTGAAACTCCGTATATCTCTTCACCTTTTCATCCTGAAACTTTGCTATTAATGTTGATATTTTAATGTGACAATGGCTTGAGGATATTTTCTCCCATTTCCTGTACACTTCATTCATTCTGTATACATTTCAACATTATATTATGAGTTCCTTTTTTTTATATTATAGAAGAATTATTTCTTCTACTATAGATCTTGATGGCCCCATCACTCATTAAAAAAAATATATTATACACAATTCGATATCTACTAATAGAAGAAAGAATTCTCTTACAACATGTAAATTCTTTTCCTCTTATATTTATTACTCACATTCATTGATAGAATCCACCGCCAAGGGCATCCCGCTCTCTTTCGTGTTTCATTTATCCTCCTGACTTTGTTTTGTACTTCGACTCATGAAATCTAACTTTGATCATTTTTTTTTCTCGAAAGAAAATGAAGGAATATGTTGCTTTCTGAAGTGTGATTTTAGAAGCTTTAAGGTCCATGTGGTTTTAGAGTTGGTTGACCTGTATAATTTACTTTCTTACTTCATCATTGTTATTTTGTTTATTAGTATATCTCTTTTAATTGGGTTATTGATATTATATTTTCTTAATTGTTGATCTTGCCTTTTTTTAAAATAAATAAATAAATAAACATATGGTTGAAAATTAGTTTGTTTTAGTTAAAGGATTAAATATGACAGAATATCTTGTTAATCTTGAAATCTTGTTTGTGGTCATCTACAACTTCTTGGTCATCCAAATTTTTAATACTAATTTTTAGTTTATTTTAAAAATTAATTTATTTTAATTAGAAAATTAGCTAATTAATAATATTGGTTGAAGTAATAGATAATTTACTCTTCTTAATTAGACATTTTGAATTCAAATTTTGAGAACGAAAAAGAAAATGATATTGGGAGAATTATCTTGAAAATTAAAAAAAAATTAATATTGATAAAACTGTCTCTATGTAAATAAATAATTAGAATTTAGGATACCAAAAAAAAAATAGAATTTATACAATTTATATAAATTTAAGATAGATACGGTCTTAATTCGACAATTAGTTAGGTCATGACTGAATCAAAACTAAATTTAAAAGACTAGCCCATATAAATATTGAATTAGAATTGAGTTGTGTTATCATTATTGAATGAATCTATTTTAAGGGAACCAAAATGAGAGTAGAAAGCCAATGAAAATGGGCACAATTGGTTAATGATTAGGCTCATATCCTACAAGGGTGAGTTTGAATATTTGGTCGATATAAAGATTTTGTTGGTGGATTATCTATAAAGAATAATAGGATGAGGAATTCATTCAATTTTTATGTTTATGTTATAAGTGATAACAATATTTTAATTTATGTTTTTTTTTTTAAAATTAAACAAGCATGGCTTAGCCCTAACGTAGGCCAATCAAAGTTTTGGGCTTAGCTATTCTTCCTAGTGCAGGCTAATTTTTTTTCGGATTGGAAAAAAACCATTTGACCCAAAATGGTTTTAGGGTTGAGCAAATGGACAAGATGGGCTGAGCCGCTTTTTGATACCTTTATTTTAGTGAAGTGGAATAGAGATTCCACATCTTTTGTGATAGAATGATAATTCTTGTGATTGTAGGAATGTGGCTTATCCCCATCCCTCACTTAACCAAACATGGAAATGGTTCGTGGTCATCCTGTCGCTTATTCCCATCCCCTCACCTAACCAAACATGGAAATTGATCCATTGCATCCTACTATACTCTTTCTTTTCTTTTTTGATACAGTGCATCCTACTATGATCTTAAATTACACCTTCTAGCAAATTCTTACCCTCAAGTTGACATTCTATTCCCCTTAGTTGATATCAGCAAATAAATTTGATTTGTCTAAATAAAGTGACGCACTTTAGAGAAACAAAAGTGCTGATTTAGTTATGATTATTATAAATTGCATGCGCACGTATAACTGAAGATAAAGTTGTTAAAAAAATACTTCATTAGTTTTTTAATAAATACTTATAATTATGTATGCAACCTATTTACAAATTTTCAAGGTAAGGTTGAGTAAAAAATTATTAATGAGAAGTGATTTTTAGTTATAATTATGTACATTTTGAAGTACATTAATAACTACTAAGCAAAAGAAATAATGACAAAAGAATCCTAAGTCTTTTGGATATGAAACAAGGATTCTCCCAAAGTAAACATGATCACTCAAAACAACCAACCAGCCAAGGAATTTATACCCTAGGAAATTGAAATCTTTCAAGAAATCAAACAGTACTAACAGCATTGTTATTTTCATGACATCCTCTCCACTGTGCCTACGGTTTTTAAGAGTTAAGGATCCCATCCTTAACCGAAAGGGCCATACACAAATAGGATTTTCGGACGGTGGCACTGCTTTTGTATTCCATGAATCTGATGCGGGGACCAAAGAAAGTGGAAAGGAATTGGATAAACACTTATCTTTCTCCACATCAGCCTCGCAACTAAGCATCATATATACATAACCAAATACAACATGTTACAGAAGAGGGTAAGAGATGATAAAAACATATCAAGTCAATAGACAGAGGAATCGGTTAAAATCTAAATTAGTATCACCAATGTTATTAAATTCGGCTGGATTATTGACTTTATTGAAGTACAAAGTCACTTGTTCAACCACGTGATTTGGTAAGTATATATAAATTTATAATTTATATTAAAAAACTATAAATATACTCAAATGTTTGTAAAAAAATTATACCCAAATATTTTAATATGAAAAGCAATAAATTACACATCATTGTCCATCAAAAGATCAATCAAACATATAATACTTGTGATACTGGTGTTTCAGATTTAGTATATACATCTCTAACTATAAATCAAATTAAAATTCGCTATATATTGCATAACCAAGATAATAATTAGTATTATAAGTATATAACTTATATAACTCAATAAGAAATAAATAACTAAAATATTTCAAAAGAAAACAAACTATTAGTGTGTGAGTGAAAAAAAAGAAAAGCATCAATTGACGAGAATAAATCATTTATGAAACAGGCCAGGTCACCGGTTGAACTGACTGGGTCACCGAATTTTACAAAATTCATCCAGGTCACACCAGTTCCATTATATGGCCGGTCTAATATGAAAACCGGATGAATTGTATAACTCGTTCACCAGTTTTCTTTATAACATTGACTAGCACTATCATTTTCCTTTTTGTTTTATTAATTTTTTTCCCCTTTCATTTCTTATCCCCTTAATTTCTTTTTATCTTTCTTTTTAGATAATTATGGGCAGGTAAGTTTTGCCATGCCAGTGGTACATGGTTGCCTTTGTGAATAGCCATGCATATGACACTTGGAACTGTTTCTGATCCTCTGACTTTGCATAAAAATATTAATTCTAATTGGATATATGATTCCATTCTTTTGACATATTCTGTGCTGACAACGCAACATTGTTTTGTGCCATCTGCCTCTGAGAAGTTTGCATAAATCAACATTAGAATAATGTGATTGATGCTGCGGACCATGGCCCAAAGAGAGTTTTTTTCGGTTAGTAAACTATACACATTGTTCTTATTCCTGCATTGATTGCTCGTACGGACACCTCAAGTTATTTGAATTATCATTTACAGTGTGATGCCAAATGCAACTTGTTCATGTCGATCACCATCGATCAAATGATCAGGGAGCATTTTTCTTATCCAATTATCTAAAGGAACATTTCGTTTTTTCTTTTCTTTTTTTTTCCCTTTCCTATCCATTTAACTATAATTAATTTGATTTTCAGCTTTTCTAGATTATACAATTAAGTCCACTATCCTCACCAACCACTATAAATAAGAGGTGACAAAATCAAAGTCCACCAGGGAAAACAAAGCCTTAGAGAACAATTACACAAGCTTTCCAACACTCATATCTTTTTCAACAACCAAGCTTTCTTCAAAACCATTGAAATTTTTCTAGCATCCTACTATTCCAAGCTCTTATATTGAAGCCAAGGGAACACTTGAAGTAATGGATAGAGTAAAGGATTTAGCATCAAAGAAGGCTGCTGTTATATTTACTAAGAGTTCATGTTGCATGTGCCACAGCATCACACAACTCTTCTATGAGCTTGGAGCAAGCCCTGCGGTGCATGAGCTTGACAAAGATGCTTATGGAAGGGAAATGGAGTGGGCTTTAAGGAGTCTGGGATGTAACCCTTCAGTTCCAGCAGTGTTCATTGGTGGAAAATTTGTAGGCTCATCAAAAGATGTTATATCCCTCCATGTTGATGGCTCTCTGAAACAAATGCTCATAGCTGCAAGGGCCATATGGTTTTAGTCAATTAAGTACACTCGAAGAAGCTCCATATATAGCATTAGTATGCATTAAGGAGCTCTGATACGGTTTGCAGACAAATGTTAAGTCAGGGACACCCCTTGTTTTTCTTGAGTGTCCTCTTTAGATTGTATGAAAGAAAGTCTACACAAAAAGTAGTCTTGCTTTTTTTGGTATTTTCTTGTAAGGTTGGCTAACTATAGCTAATGTCTACCAAGTTATGTGAAACTTAATCATACGAGAGAAAACAGCTCTACTTTAGTTAATGCAGCTTTAAACTTTAATTATGGGATTTATCTTTAATTTTCGAAATTAATACTTTGAAGAAAACATGCTTCAATTACAATCTTAATTTATCCAAGCTCATCGTACTAAAATATTCCTCCCATTTTCTATTGGATAATATGTAGTCATTGATTCAATCGATTCAAGCAAATTTGACATAGAATATTAATGTCTCTGCTGGGTATAATCTTTTTATGAATAACAAAAGTTTCCCATCAAAATCACATCCCACTTACACAAGAAGGTTTGGCTTAACTAATAACACGAGCAGCAGAATATTTGAATCAGGTTGATCACCGGAAGTCCAAGCACTTGGCCCATTTTTTTAGTATTTATTTTTTTTGTAGAAATTGGCCCAAGTTTAATTGAATATAACTTTTGATTGAGGAAGCCTCAAATGAGTCCACTCTCGTGGCAACTTAGAACATGATCGATGTCGTTTTGACCCCAAAAATCGACATTTTGACATGTTTTGGGCCATTTTCTATTTTTTGTCTTATAGTTTGTAATTGCAGCACAAACTGAGGTTAGTTGCCTTTATATTCTGTCTGTTTAGAACATCTTGATCATTCCAGTTTGAATAAAAATTATCAAAATTTCTTCAACCTTTGTGTTATTCATTTTCATACATACTCGTTATGTCATTAGTTTACATACATAGTTGACCTTCTGCTTATAACAACAGCATAACATGGGTCTAAATTTAAGAATTTCCATTAGTAGGTAATGTAGTTTCTCTATATATAAATCTTTACTTGAGATTAGTTGTTTATCCAAATCTTGAAATTAGGAAAGCCTGCCATCATCCTAAACTTTAATTTTTTACCAAAAAAATAAAAATAAAAACTCTCACCTACTTATTGAAAAGGAATTAATCCCCTTCGTCATGAAAGCCAAATATAGAAATAATACCACTATTATTCAAGTGTCTATAAGTAATAGGGTATTATATCCCTCGTGTTGTAGGAACCAATGTTGTTGTCATGTTAAAAAAAAGATAAGATATATATAATATTAAAATAGTGATAGGACACTTTATTCAATTAATTGATTTGTTCTTTACTTAACATGATAAAACTTTGGGTTTTATAATTCTCATTCAACATGAGAATTCAAATTTTCCTACACACCCTTCGATTTTCGTGCTGACATGGGTCCTACATATAATTTTTTCTAACACATGAGTTTCACATACTTTTTATCTCTACAACATAAGATTTCAACTCTCATTTAACATAAGAATTATAAAACCCTAAAACTTTTGGTTCGTAAAACATGATGGATGCATTTCCCTGAGTAATAACGGGGTGTTTATTCTAAACCACTCAATTTGGGCACCTGGTGCAAGGTACAATATTTAAACTTTGTAGTCACGACATGCATGGCACCATGCGCATCACTCTAGGTTATGTAGCGATATTTAAACTTTGTAGTCACGACATGCATGGCACCATGCTTGAGTTTAAGACAAAAAGGTAATGCTAGCACTTTTATGCCTCGCTATTATTCCTCCATATCCACGTTGATAGATTTATTATTCTTTGGATCATATATATAATTATAAAACACCAAAATAATATGATATTAAATTTGTGATTGAACGTATCTTGGACCAGGAAACTACATGTTAGGATCTTCTTTTCTATCCCCTATTTCAAAAGTGACAGCATTTTTGCTATGGGAGTACAATGGCGCATGATGGGGCTAATATAAACAGACTAAAATAGGGAGTTAACAAAATCCTAATCAAGAGCGTGTCTGATGAACCCACCCATCACAGAAGTTCAATCAGACATTAATGTCTACACTGTGGTTAGGAGTGTTCGCGGTCTGGATTGGATCGATTTTGAAAATAAAATCATCCAATCCAATTCCTTTAGTTTGATCATTTAATCATCCACTCGTTTGAATTTTTTTTAAATCCACTCCAATTTTATTCTATTTAGATTGGATCAGTTTTCGATTTTACAAAAAGTCTAAAATTTTAGTCACACAAATCACTAGCTATATAAAAAACAAAGTCATTCAAAGTTATAAACCACTGAAAAATTCAAGTCTTCAAACTAAAACAAATGAAGAGTTAAAATAGATTAATAGACAGCAAAAAATTAAAACAAGATAGTTTGCTATTAATAACATCCAAGATTCCAAGTCTACAAAATAACAAGATTTCAAGTCACCATATTTCAAAAATAATAAATACATAATATATTGGGTCGGTTTTCACCAAACAAACCGAAAACCGATCTAATCCAATTAAAATATGCAGATTTTTTTTCGATTTTGGTTATTCGGTATCCGATTTTTTGGTTTGGTCTCTATGGTTTGAATCGATTGATGAACACTCCTAACTGTGGCACTGTACTGCCCAACTAAGCCTGATATCCGTAGATGCCAAAAGCTTATAACTCATCATAATCACAACAAATTTATCTTAACAGGTTAAATTGAAATATCCATTAACCCTAACCCAATAATTTAAAATATACAAAAATATTAATTAATATTGCACACATATAAAAAATTTCTAACACATATGTCATGATAATTTTCTTTGATAGGCACTGTTTTCTAAAATAACTTATGTGCATGAGCACTGGGTGCAGTTAAGTATGCACAGTGATGAATATTAATCCTTGTGCTCAATCTTTATATATAATACATACATATTTATTACAATCAGCTAATGTCTTTCTGCTGGTGTATATATATATATATATATATATATATATATATATATATATATATATATATATAGAGAAAAATATTTCTTAAACAGTTTAAAATATATTTATTTCCATCCATATCAAAATTACATCATTTTATTTATTTATTTATTTATATTAATTGATTTACCTTTAAATAACTATAATTTCCTTTTCCTCTCTCTTTCTTTATCATCATTAATTCATCTTTGTACAATTATGATTAAGTAGTTAAAGATAAAATTATATCAAACATCTTGAGAAACGCCAAGCCCGTGTACACCCTGTGAACATTTGATGTTGTGTGCTGTTACACTTGTAACGGCACACAGTTCTTTTGTGTGCTTGCTAAATGAACATATGATGTTGTGTGCAGTTACACTGGTAACTTATGATGCACGGACAATGACACGGGACACGGGACACGACACTACATGCCGACACATTAATTTTAAAAAATGGCATATTTGACACATTGGAACACGTTTTGATATTAAATAATATTTTTAATATATATAATATAATTTATATTTAATAGATATAACAGTCCATAATAAGTCATATAACCAATTAAATATTCAAATTTCATAACATAAATATAAACAAAAATAATTTTTCATACCTTGTTAATTTTTCATGTCAAATTTCATAACAAAAAAATTGATTTATAAATGATTTTTTTGTTATTTTTAGATAATAAAATAAAATTAAAGACTAAAAAAAACGTGTCCGAGCGTTGACCACGTGTCGAAAAAAATTGACTGTGTCGAAAAAACGTGACGGAGCGTGTCGAATAGTTGACCACGTATCAAAAAAATATTGGTCATTTGTCGGACGCGTTTTAGAGCGTGTTCGTGTCGGACACGTATCCGACACACACAATTAACAAAAATACACGAGTTCGTGTTTCAGAGCCGGTAACGATACATAGAGTTCTTTTGTGTGCCTTCTAAATAAAAGAAATTTATTTTCTTTTATTCTCAAAAGGGAAAAGGCTTTTCACTCTAACACTATTCTTAGAGAAATATAAAATTATTGAGATAACCTTGTTCAATAACTTAAACTTTTGAGTTGAAATAGTTTTTTAATAATATTAGAGTTTCGGTGTTACGGACTTGATCTTCTCCGTCTCCTATTTAATTAATAATTAATTAAGTTTAGTGAAATTTTTTAACATGAGTTTGTGCATTGTCCATATTTCAAATTTAGTGAGTTCTCGTGTGAGAGAATGTATTAGAGAAATATAAAGTTGATCAGTGGCTCTTATATAAAAAAATGTGTTAAAAAATTATAAAGCTAATGACCTTATGTGAGGGAGCATATTAAAAAAATATAAAACAATTAATCTCACCCGACAGCTAAATGGTTCTTTACACGTACACGTGTAGGTCCATCCGTGTGCTCACTTGCACGTGAGAAGTGAGAACACTATATATGCAAGTGCTGCATCTCTGTATGAGTATCGAAATTGATGGGCGCAAAACAGAGAATCCCACGAAAGCCATCTCAGTCTCAATCTTTCTTCACAAGGATTCAAAAGAGGGTGATAATAAGAATCTTCAATCTGGTATAAATTGACCAGCATCCGAGTATTAAAACTTTTGTTACCTTTTGAATTTTGAGTGAGAATTTTATATTTTTCAATTTAGTATATGTTGAGTCCCATCATTTTTCTTAAAAAAAAAATAAAAAACTTAAAAAAAATAAATTATGTGAGACAACAGGAGATGATTTTTCTCCAACAAATAGGAAAAAATCATCTCCCTTTTTCGTAAGGAGAAATTTTTTTTTTATATTGCTGGAAATTTTTCTCTTATATCACACACATAATCTTATATTGAGTCCCATCATTTTTCTTAAAAAAAAAAAATTAAAAGAAAATAGAGTGAGACAATAGGAGATGGTTTTTCTCCCATCATAAACTATGCACAAAATTTAACTAATTAATGGTCAATGGCGGTACACGCCTGACACAAACAAATTTCACTAACTTGGTCACTGGAAGATATTATTTTCATATCTGTTTGTGTTGCGGAAAGTCTTCACATTCTATGGTTATGGTGTCAGAGCCTGTCTACTAATGGAGGCATATGTACTTATATAATGTCTTACAACTTGTTCAGTCTAAAGCAGTCATACACAACAGTCCTTATATCTCCAAAGTTTGCTTTATTATATGAATTTGGGCATCTAAAAAGTATAACCTCTTTTGAATTGTGCTTTTGTTCAAAGAAATCAGTCCCTAATTCCCTATGGTGTCCCTATAAATAGTCTAGCATAACAACTCATTTCAAACAACCTCAAGCCTCATATAATTTTCTATTTCCAATTCTCCTCCTTAGACATTCAACTCCTCAGCCATTAGATTGAATTCAATCTGAAGGTTTTGGAGTTCTAATTAGTCTAAGGTGATTAATCTCCAGTCACCTCTCAAAGCTTTACATTTCTTTTTTCCAATTTGTATCTGGAACAGAATTTTTTTGGATATATATTCTAGAAGTATTTGATCAGTGATCAAGATGGAGAAGGTGATGAGGTTGGCCTCAGAAAAAGGTGTGGTGGTTTTCACCAAGAGCTCTTGTTGCCTCTGCTATGCAGTCAACATTCTATTTCAAGAACTAGGAGTGATCCCTATTGTTCATGAGATTGACAAAGACCCTGAAGGCAGGGAAATGGAGAGAGCTATAACTAGGTTGGGTTGTATAGCACCTGTCCCTGCAGTGTTCATAGGAGGGAAGCTTGTGGGATCCACCAATGAAGTCATGTCCCTCCACCTAAGTGGTTCACTGACTCCACTGCTGAAACCATATCGAGCTAATTTATCTTGAAGGCAGGGGAACACATGCAAAACACGTAACCACTACCTTATTGGAAGAATAAACAGCTGGCTCGATTCAGTATAGTAGCGAGCTTGTATTGAATAGTATATGCAGTGATGTGTGTAGTATAGTTACTAGTTTCTATCATTTGATTAGCTAGCTATAATGTAATATATAAGATAAATATTCTTAATGAAGTTTTATTTATATATATACTTCTATTGGTGTCACGTCCAAGTAAATTTTTTATGTTATTCCCATACTCCATTCGGCAAATTTTGATTATCTAAGGCTAATAATGGCAGATGATCAATGATAATACAATGTACTAGTATAAGTAGCATATCCTGAAAGTTGCACCTTTTGTACATCTCAGAAAAAGCTCCACCACCTCCCCTTTTCGCTCTTTCTCCTATCTCTTTTTAACCAGTTACCAGTATTATTCAATATGTTTGTTATATTACATGAGATATTTTATTTCTTGTAACACACAAAAATTGGATGGAATCTATTAAGAAAAAGAGAGAGAAAGAAAAAAATAGATCTCAATCATTTTTTCTGTGCATGCATGAGAGAGATAATTTTGTTTCATGTAATAGGAGAGACATATTTACCTTATTCAATAAACAACAAATCATATTCGTAACATGAAAATATCTGCAGCGGCATTCACTTTTGACTTGTGTGTCCATCTTTCCTTGCTAAAGGAAATATTCTCGAAGATCTGTTAGCTGCATCATAAATAGCATGCAAACCCATTATGGTTTTGCCTGTCTCAATCTGCTATCTGCCCATGTTATATTGCAAATTTCAAAGTTCATATTCTGTTATTTTTTGGCTGTATATCTTTTGAGCTTCTTATTGGACCATAATTTTTTTCGCACATCATCACAAAAGGTACAATAAGGTTACCTTTTACAGAATAACAGTAGAAAAATTTATATATTGTCTGCGGACGTGAAGGGAGTGAAAAAAAATAGTTTTCTAATTATAATAATATATTTTCAAGAATATATAATTATAATCATTTTTCTGTAAACAAAGATTTGCAACAACATAAGAAAAAAGAACTCATAAAAATAATAAAAAATTTGCTTGATGACTTTTGTTTTGAAAATAAATTTTAACAACTTATTAATACTCCAGCAGTGATGATAGTGGCAGTGGCTGCTCCTGCAGTGACAATGATGAGTGCGGCTCGGTGATAGTAGCTCCAGAGTTCCACAGTGGTAATTTAAAGTGAAAGTAGAGAATTCATAATAATAAGAATGAGAAAACAAAAACAATTGAAATGTATTTTGATTTTCTCTTGAAATAATATATCGAGAACAAGCTTTCAAAACAATCAGATAAATATTGTTTTGTAATTTAGTTTTTCAAAAATAATAAATTATTTGGAACCCAAATAAAAAATACCAAAAAAAGTAAGGGAAAAAATAAAATTTAAATATATATAAAACTATTCATTAAAAAATAATAATCAATTAAAAAATAAAATAAAGTGAAAATAAACATACATAAGAAAAAAAGAAAAGAATAAAAAAGTTTAAAAAAAACTAAATTAAATAATAGTAAAAAACAGAGAGATAAAATTGAAATAAAAGAGAATAAAAAAGTAAAGAAATAAATAAAGGGAGAAAGAAACATGTCATTAGATAAATGTAATTATTTTTCTAAAAATTAAAGATATTTAATAATTTTTAATTATTGTAAAAAAATTAAATGAAAAGCATTCTAAAATGGAGGGAGTATGAACTATCTGCTTACCCTAAAAAGATATAAGGTGATTTTAGAATATGTTTTTTAAACCATAAATGCGCACCGCATTAGTAATAATATTTCAAATATAATTAAAGTAGGAGACAAGATACCTCACATAATTGAAGTAGTTTACATTATTTCTCCGGTAATCTCTAAAACGATATCGTTATGAATTAATAAAGGTATTTTTATAATTTTATTTATTTTTTTATTATATGAATTTTATTGAAATACTCTTAATTAATTCTCCTAAAATTACAGAAATATCCTTTATTAATTCAAAACGATATAATTTGGGAGTTATAGGAGATAACTTATCTCAAGTGACTGGAGAAATATTTTACCCAAAAAATCAAAAAACTTATCTTGCTTTAGGAACTCTGAAGAAATTTTATACCAACATTATCATTCCTTAGGGATTTTATTAAATAGTTAACATGCGTAAACACAATATCCATACTTTTTAAATTTTCATTAAACACGGTGAAAGGAGAAGCAAAGGAGAAAATGAGCTAATAGATAAATAAAATAAATTGGGTGACAATTTTTAGTAGACCATGTTATTATAAATCTGGATTTATGGTGAGTTTTATATCTATCATTGAATTTTGTAATATGAACATATTTATTTGGGGAATATATTTATCATGTTATATCATATAATTTTATTTCATGCATACACAAAAAAGTGGATGAGACCCACTTCTTTTTTTTCTCTCTTTTTTTCAGTGGGTCTCACCTATTTATTTTTGTGTGTGCATAAAATAAAATTATCTCTTATAATATGAGAAATATATTACCCTATTTATAAGTTTACATTGTATTTTAAATATTGTCACCAGTATTATTAAGGGCATTGTTTTTCTTCTGCGGATGAAGACAATTGATTTTTCCTGTTGATAGAATACTAAACCAATGAATCACTAGTTTGTTCAATAAATTATTAACTTAACCAATTAAAGGAGGGGTTTGTCTTTTCTACGGTTAATGTAGATAAGTTATTTACATTGAGCCTAAAATGACATCGTTTTGGGACGAAAATCAAGATATTTTTGTAATTATAATTTATTTCAGGGTTATAATAGTCTTTCTCATTATAATTTTTTAATTTTTTAATTCAAAACGACGTCGTTTTTGGAATGAATATAGATAACTTATCTACATTCACTGTAAAAACGTTAAAGCCTTAAACGAGATATATGTAGAATTATATTGTAATAAATATAATAAGGGTTTAAGTTTTCTTATGTTGTAGGATTGTAGGAGAGAAAAAAAGTAGACAGAAGTTAAATGTGAATCCCATATTTTATATTAAAAAAAGAAAAGAAAAATTAATTGGTACGAAAAATGAATTTGTGTAAGAAAATAATGTAATCTCACGTGGCATGAGAGTATTATTTCCCATATAATAATAAGAGTAAGTATTGTAGATGTGTGGTAAGTGTAGCTGGCCCCATACTTAAGATATGGTTTTGATTTTTTGGAGAGTGCAACTTTTAAAAATGGGGTACACGAAAATTTTTTTCATTTATTTTGAGCCTTGGGAATAAAAATACTTACATATAGTGTTTAAGAAAACCATTTATTTTTTTATTTCAAAATATAAACCGTTTGCTATGCAAATTGATAGAAATAGAAAAACAAATATTTTGCTCCTTAATGCAAATGTCGTATAATGTGTTGTCAAGTATTAACATCAAATACACATTATTTATTATTAAATATACTCTCTCTTTCTTAATATAGAAATAATTTATGTTATTAAACATATACTTTTTTTTTTACCTAAAAACTCTTTTTTCATATATATATATATATATATATATATATATATATATATATATATATATGATAAAATCATTTCTGCAGCCGCTTTATGTATAACAACGACATGTGTATGGTTATGATTCCTCGCATTTAATGCTTTCATCCTTTATATAGTTATGATTTTCCGAATTTAATGCTTTCAAGTATATATATGACAAGTATTTAATTGCTGCACGTACAGCAGCTTAGCTGCAGAAATATAAACTCCTATATATATATATATATATATATATATATATATATATATATATAGAGGCAGGATCCTTTGACACCGGTGTCAAATTTGAAGTTTGACACCTCATCTGAGAGCCGTTAGATCAAAAAAGATCAACGACTCTGATTTGTAAGCATGTGACACAATTGATCTTTTTTGATTTAATGGATCTCATATGAGGTGTCAAACTTCAAATTTGACACCGGTGTCAAAGGATCCTACCTCATATATATATATATATATATATATATATATATATATATATATATATATATATATATATGAGGTAGGATCCTTTGACACCGGTGTCAAATTTCAATTTTGACACCTCATCTCAGAACTGTTAGATCAAACAAAATCAATGACTCTGATTTGCAAACATGTGATACCATTGATCTTTTTTGATCTAACAGCTCTGAGATGAGGTGTCAAAATTAAAATTTGACACCGGTGTCAAAAGATCCTACCTCTATATATATATATATATATATATATATATATATATATTTCTTTCTTTCTTTCTAGAAATAATGCCCATAGAATAGAATATCGTCGCCATACATCACCTAAATATCATGAACTAAATCCGTGAAATGGTGCATGAGTGGATATAAAAAGGGTAGTTATATCCGTAATTTTAGAACATATTATTTGTTTTAGGGTAATTTCATATGAACTATGAACACAAAAAGATAGTGCATTTGGAATTCATGAAAGATTTTGTAAACAATATTTCCAAAAAAAAAAAAGATTTTGTAAACAACCGTTCGTGTAAAATAGAAGTCCTGATTCAAAAAATCATGATGACAAATGCTTCTTTAAGTATTAATGGGGTTATTAATCAAGAGTGGATCTAACACATTGGCTCTAATATCAAAGTTGGGTAGATTCAAAGGGAGCTCATGGCAAATAATCGCAATTAATAAGCTAAGTTAGACTAATCATATCATGTGTATCTAACATTATATCTCAATTCAAAATATTAAGATATTGAATTTATGGGTCATATCACTCATATATGTTATGCTTAGCTTCTTCCTTTCCGGTATGGAATTTCTATTACTCACATTTGAATTCCCACAAACTTAAGCATGTGTGCAAAGCATAAGTGATGGAATAAAACTTTAGTGCAACCAATGAATTGAAAGATCCCCTATATCGATAACACACATTACAGATGAATGAGCCTAATTCGAATTATTTTGTTCTAAAGCAAAGAGATCCACAGGATTGTTTGTCCTATTCAAATATTCACGACCAAGAAGTATTGAATTCTCTTTCTTTTCGGGTAGGCCCTGAAATGAGAAGGAATGTTGGAATGCCAACAGGTGTCTATTATTGAATTCCCTCAACCCGAGAGTACAGTACCCATTTGATTTTGAAAACTCACTGAACTTCAATGCATCGCATTTA